ATAAAGTAAGGGTATAATGGTAAATTTGACGAAAAAAAGTAACACCGTCAGTAGTAAAGTGACGGTGTTAACATCAAAGGGAGAGTGTGCAGGCAAATATATAATAGGAGGGGGTTTGACGCAATTTTTAAATTACGAGGGGAAAACGCGCAAATTTAGTATATTACAGGGGGGGTTGGTGCAATTTACCCGACTAAAAAATAATACTTTAGAAAATAATTTAACTAATGTTTTTTTCCCTTAAAAATACCACATTTACCGATCTAACTTTATTTTACATTAGAAAGAAAATAATTTAACTAATGTTTTTTTCCCTTAAAAATACCACATTTACCGATCTAACTTTATTTTACATTAGAATTGTAGCAAGCGTAAACTTACCAAACTCAACTTGCTCTACTCGAACTTAGACTCAGTATTTATAAAACCGAGCAAAGTTTAACTTGTTAATAAGTGAGTCATATAAAATATACTCAAGCTTGACTTGTTTACCAATATTATTTTACTCGTTAATTAAACGAGCTCAGGTTTCATATATCAAGTCGAGCGGAACTTAATAGCACATCGTTTCGTTTAAAATCACTAGTATAAAAAAATATACTTTGGTTAGGCCAACAAAAATCGCAGTGCTTGATTTATTATGGAAAAATGGGCTCTCTCAAAATTAGATAATTGTATTAGGTCAGTGGCCAATGACTTTGAGGTTGGTGCAGGGTTGGGCCAGCAAGACTTGAAAGGGTCCTACCTTACCAACCCAAAGACTCAGCCTACGATCAAACTCTTTTTCTTTCATGTACCAGTACAACACTCGTGTATTACACGGTTGCTTGTTAAAAAATTATTCTTAAATTTTAAAATTAATGAAAAAACTATATTAAAATTTAGTTTACTTTTTTACAAAAAAAAATATATTACTATATATTTTACAATGATATGTGTTACTCATGATTTACATGTGTTATATTATATTAGTTTTTATAACTAATATCATATAACTACTTGAAATATAAATATATTAGTTGATAAATAATTTTATTTTTCTAATTAATATTAAAAATAATTTTATTATTGTTATAAAAATAAATATAAATTATTTTTTATACATACAATATGAATGTTAAATCGAAGCTCATAAAAAGAAGATTAATTTGATATATTACATATGTAAAACTGATAAAAAATACAAAATTTATTAACTTTTAAAATACATATACAATTTAATAGTTATAATAAGGAATGATATTAAAATGCAATTAATGCATGTAACATGACCATAAATAATCAACATAGTTATGGTAATCCGAACCTAATTATTTTTGGTTTGGAATTAAATTAAAACTTACACAAGTTTAATAACGAAGCATGTAATTTTGCCGCATAGGATTCCGAAGCACCAGAAATAGCCACGTAGGCTCAGCGCGTTCTGAATTAATATACAAGGGGAGGGGATATGGGGGGATAATTTCAAATTCCTTTTATTCTCTTTAAAAAAATATTAAGGTTCTTAATTTTTAAAGTCCCAAAAGTAATAATAATTACGCATTATATATTCGATAATCTTAAATTAATTTTTATATGAAACAACTTATCATATATATATATTTTTTAAATGCACATTTATAGAGACAAAGATCATTCGACTATTAATATTGTCTTTTAAGGTATCTCAACTATGTATAAAAATTAAAAATATGCATATTTTTTAAAAATATATAAGTATCTGATAATTATACTCTCATCCACCTAATGTGTTTTTCTAATCATTTTATTCTGTGCTAGGATTTTCAATTTTTGCTGAGTATATTGAGATCGAAAATTTCTAAAGAGGATCTGCAATTTGAGGTGCATAATATAAAAAGAAAGCCTTTGATTTGAGGCTGGATTTAGAGAATGCAAGTTTATTTTTCACTACTAGTACAGTACCCGTGCGATGCACGGGGTTTGTTATTTCCGTCCCATTTAAAAAGTAAATTTAAGTTAAAATTCAAAGTACTTACTAAAGGAAAAATCATGTCATTAATAATTATTAAATATAATAAAAATAAAATCTATATATTATTGAACATTACCTTATACACAACGTTCATGGTTTGATTATTTGACACGTTATCGTCACCACAAATTAGGATTTTCAAACCATTTATGTTTGTGACACGGGAGACAACAATATACAACTGGCCCCAAACCGTACAGTTCTTTATGTTTCCCCTACACAATGTCCAAGAGGTTTTTAGAGGGCATATTATGAGTTGAAAATATAAATTCTAAACATTGATATTTTAATTTATTTTTTCTAAGATATTACATGCGTAAAACATTAAAATCGAAATATAATAGAAAAAAATCAAATAAAAATATTAGAATATAAAATATGAATTTGTAATGCAAAAGATTCTTACTCTCAATCCATAATAGAGAATACAATCATTTGAGTAGGAACTCTCTCGACAATCTTTATTTGAATATGGTGTATTGAAACAACCAATCCAACATCTACAAAAATGTAAGACAATGCATCATATTGAAACGTATAATGTATAATATAGTTTATTAAAGATTTTAACTAAAAAAAAATCGAAATAAGAAATAAACAAAAAATTATAGCGTACCAAACAACATGACTTCATCAACATTATGAACACCTATTAAAGTTAGAAAGTTCCTAAAGTCAAAACGATACATAGGAAATTCACTCCTCCACTTGAGAATGTTGGTTTGGCCATTGATAATGATCACCAATTACCTATATCGTCGATCTATAGATGCCAATATTGTTTGATACCCATGATTACTCCAAAATCTAATGCCATTTTGAATGTATACGAAAAATCTTGTAAAAAAAATATGTTTTGGGGGATGTATTAGTTGTAAAATTTTTTTGGTTCACTGTTGATGATGGTATAGACATTTGTGTATGTGACATATAACTTGCACGATAATTAAAAAATTGATTTATGTCAGGTTTTTAAGTTGAGTAGGACTTATATTCCTAAATAATGTGATTACGGTTGACTTCAAAAAAATATGTTTATCCATTTTGATAAAAACAAAAACAAAATCAAAAACAAA